GGAGTATATACTAAAACTTACTCTAATTAGTTATAAATTATTAAGTTATTGCTCTCCCTATAAAAGTGTTATTGTTCTGCCTCTTGCCACAGCTGCCGTCGTTCTTCGCGTGTGTGATGCAGGGGTGTGTGCAGGCGCTGTAGGCCCTCCTGGTCCTCCCTCCTGCTGCGCCGGCGTCACCCGGGCGCACCTCCTCCTGCCCTTCAGCTCCTCGCTACACTCCCGCCCTCCATGCCCTAACACCATGCCAAAGGCAGCGCTAAGAGGGGCTCGGCAGGGACTCAATGGGGCTCTACATAAGCCATCCTTCTCACGCTGCCCAAACTCACTCCGGTCTGGCGCTGGCCAAACTCCGTCCGGTCTGGCGCTGGCCAAACTCCGTCCGGTCTGGCGCTGGCCAAACTCCGTCCTGTCTGGCGCTGGCCAAACTCCGTCCTGTCTGGCGCTGGCCAAACTCCGTCCTGTCTGGCGCTGGCCAAACTCCGTCCTGTCTGGCGCTGGCCAAACTCCGTCCTGTCTGGTGCTGGCCAAACTCCGTCCTGTCTGGCGCTGGCCAAACTCCGTCCTGTCTGGCGCTGGCCAAACTCCGTCCTGTCTGGCGCTGGCCAAAATCACCCTTGTCTCTATGTACCAACCTGATTTCAAACGTTCAATGCTTTAACTATTCCGTGTAAGTATTAGCTAGAGAACTCAACTGCTTTCGTTTTATTCTCCTGTCACCACACTTCCCCAGGGAAGCCCTGTGACCACTCTGGCCACTAGTACCCACGCCAACGTCGTCCTCACACACACTGAAGATCATGCTTCCATATAAGAACATAAGAATAAAAAGCAACTACAATGGCCCCTTGGTCCATACGAGGCCGCTCCTGTTTATATCCACCCAAGCGCATTCATATATATATATATGTCTAACCTACGCTTGAAACAACCCAGCGACACCTCGGCTTGTATGTTATTCGGTAGTTTATCCCATAAATTAATAGCCCTGTTTCCAGCGGAGTATTTGTCTAGGGTTTTCCTGTGTCTAAACTTCTGGTCAGTGTTCAGACGTGGTCAGTGTTCAGACGTGGACAGTGTTCAGATGTGGACAGTATTCAGACGTGAACAGTGTTCAGACGTGGACAGTGTTCAGATGTGGACAGTATTCAGACGTGAACAGTGTTCAGACGTGAACAGGTGTTCAAGAAACGTGCAGCATTACTCCCACATCGCAATACTTACGTCACATTTTAACGTAACCGTCTGACAACAGGACTAATTAAACGTAAAACGTAAATAAACGTAACCTCAGAATACGTTTCTCCAAACTGCGCCCCCCTCCTACAAAGACACTCAAAATAATAACATACTATTTGCTCCAAATCGGTATGTTAAAACCGGACAGAATATAAATCAATATTAATGTTAAAATATTGTGTAAAGTTAGTTCTAAATTAGGCGCTGACAATAAGGTTGCATTAATAGTATGGTTGCGTGAAACCATCTATAAAGAAACAATTCAAACATTACACGAGGCTCGAGACTCTTACTAGTGATTCCATCCACCCGCCAACCCCCTTGTTTATGAATGATTCTGTGGGGGTCGACCGCTGGATGGAATGGACTTGGAGTCGAGGACGGGTTGCATACCCAGGGGGTTGTGGGATGGTGGTAAGATAACGTGTAATTGACATCTGTTGGCAACACATTTGATGAGAACATGTAGAACCCCTGCAAGATGACAACACACGAGTCGCCATGTTGGGAGGAGGTGTAGGGAGTGCAGAGGTTGATCATAAAGGAGTGTAAATGAGTACTCACGTGGTGTTGTCGGCCGCCAGGGTGTAGCCCGGCTTGCAGAGACAGGTGTCGGCCGTGTCCTTACAGGTGTACGTGCACGAGAGGTTGTTGCAGACGGTCATCTTGCAGTCAGTCTCATCTGTGGTGACAACCCCACTCAATTACAACCCACAACACACACACACAGTAAAATACATCTGAACAAAACACGCAAATAAATCCCCTTTCCCTGGGTTTCACCTTATTGTAATTTATATTGTATTATTTAGCCTATTGCCAGCAATACAAACCTGAAAATATTTGATTCATGGCATTATATTCCATTCCATTCCATTATATTATCAGCATAAAACGTTGCAGGACGATGTGTTCATCGGGTTAAGGGTTATACCGTCCGATGTGAAGTGTTCAAGAAAATAACTTCACTGGCAGAGACGTTGTCTGGGCCCAGTAGTGTTACTGGCCTCCATGGGTCGAGTCATGATGGAGAGACAGGTGGACAGATGGGTGTGTTTATGAACAGATAGATGAATGGCTGGACAGAGAAGTATACGACTACACAGATGGGTATACAGCTAGACAGGTGGGTGCATGGCTAAAGATATGGGTGTATGGCTGCACAGATAGGAGTATTTCTGGACAGGTGGGAGTATAGCTGGACAGATGGGTGTTCGGATGGAGAGATGGGTGTTCGGATGGAGAGATGGGTAGAGTCGATAATGGTCTGGACTTGATAATGGTCCAGGATGGACCGAAACGTCGTGGTCTCTTCATGTTGTAGTGTGTGGGGTTTAGTCATGATGGGTAGAGTGCTACACTATGGCCCGCCCCATGTCTTGTCGAGGTGTGAAAGTACTCAACACGTCAACGCCAGTAGTCACTAACATGCACTATGGCCAGTAATGGTACTTCTTTCAGTTCAAGCAAAACGTACAAGATAATTTTCTCAAATGAGTTGTGACGAAGAATCTGTACTAATTTTGTTGATAGGCGCCCCTGGCACTTAAGTGATTTTTTGGAGCAGGATCTGAGCCATCTCGAAGCTTAAGTCATAGACGAGTCAATCACACCTGGGATGAGAACAATCACCTGTTCACAATCACCTGAGAACAATTGTGAACAACATTCACAATTTCTAGGGTAATGGTACCCCAAGTTGAGAAGCTAGCATGTGGAGGCAAGCACTCTGGTAAGTGGAGTTGCACATAATTTCTCAAGCAAAGTGAGACTCGTCCCCAGGAGGGAGAGGCTGTGTGAATCTTATTCTGGCATCGTGAGCCCTCATCTCGTCTCCAGAGGCGGGAGCATGTCCTCGGCGTCCAGAAGTGGATCAGGCTAAATAGTCTGTGCTGCTGTTGTGGTGATATATATGGACATGTGTGGTGATGTATATGTGGACATGTGTGGTGGAGATGTATGTGAATTATGTGTTGTGGTGATATATGTGGACATATGTGTGGTGGTGCAGTGATCAAATGAGTTTAAGTTTTATTAACAAACTTAGGTACTCCTGCATTTACGCAGCTACAGACTACATACCGAATGTCAAGAGCCAGAAACGCGATGCTAAAAAATCCCCCATCACAGAAGATAGTTTAGTCATGCAGGGACATGAGATCAGTACTGTCTTTACCGGGGACCTTTGGCTGCATTATGATGATATCCCCAAGAAAATAAGTTAATAAAGTGGTTCACCAGCTTCAGGGACCTACATTCCGGCAGGTCTGAAGGGACTAATGACCGGACACTCGAGAACGTAGTGTGGGAGATCATGGCCAAGTTCCTGCTCGCAGAGTTTGCACATGAAATGCTCAGATGAACAAATCCACAAGGGCCGTGACGAGTATTCGAACCTGCGTCCGAATGCATAACAGATACTGCCTTAATCGACTGAGCTACGACAGGGTAAATGAACAAATCCTTGAGGATTTGTTCATTTGATGCATCACGTTAGTGTGATCTCTGTGTGTAATGAAATACTCAGGATTGGGAAATCCGTCGCCTGTAGCCACCTGCCACAGGTAACGGTAGTCCAACCTGATCCTGGCATGCACTCTCTGGTGGACCTTTTGTGCTGCCTATATACATATATTTCGGATATAAACATATCATTGTCTTTTATACTGGTGGTTTCAGTGTGGGGGAGTTAATAATTTCTCTCCTAACAGACCTGAATATTTAGAACAATATATTTCTAAAAACACACATGGGGAAATCTAGGTATAGTTGAACTTCATCCTTGTTACATGATAATTTGGTAGCTATGTCTGTAATATCACGATAGGTTATATTTGTGTGAGATGTGATCAGTAAAGAACGTAAGACAGATATAAGTCTACGTAAGAAGCCCACCACGTTTCAGTACCCGAGCGTGTCAAAGACGGTCAACTGAGACTACAGTTGACTACACCAACTGCTCAACTGTTCTCAGTTCAGCAGTTGGTGTTGACTGCGTAGAGATGCTTCTCGGGAATGAAAAATTTATGGAAAATAATTTGACATGAAGTAAAAGACTTTACTTCATGTAGAATTATAGGGCACAAGTCAGCAGTATTATTGTGCAGCCACAAATCTCATTATCAAATCAAATCAAATCAAATGTTTATTTAGGTAAGGTACATACATACAAGAGATTTTACAGAGAGTGATGGATTTATAGATAGGGCTAGTACATACAATGCCTAAAGCCACTATTACGCAAAGCGTTTCGGGCATTATTTAATGTGAGGTGTTTTTATAAGTTAGCACGAGGTGTGAGATCCTCATTAGTGACCACAGTAACAGATCATTAGACCATTAATTGATTATCTCTGGGAACACTAAGAAACCACGTCAAGTTACATTGACAGATTTATCAATCAAACTGCCAGACGGCATCTTCAGAGTACTGTACCGAAATTTATATCTTGACCTAAACACCACAGTTGGAAATGTCACTAACCTACAGAGCTCAAGAACATTATTTTTTTTAATTATCAGGGGGAAATCGCCAAGCCATTACGACTTTAAAGCACTTGGAAGGGGGTCAGAATATAAGGATTTGGGATGGGACGGAGGGAAGGAATGCTGCCCAATCATTTGGGCGATTGGGGATTGAACGCCGACCTGCATGAAGCGAGATCGCCGCTTTACCGTCCAGCCCAAGTGATGATGATGATGATGAAGATTAAGCCACCCAAAAGGTGGCACGGGCATGAATAGCCCGTAAGTGGTGGCCCTTTTGTGCCATTACCAGTATCAATAGCTGATACTGGAGATCTATGGAGGTGCGACTGCACCCTACGTGACAGGAGATGTCTTCCCCGTGAGCGCAAGTGGTTGGACAGCTCAAGAACAAGTGCCACTACGGTGGCCTTTTTGCTGATACTGGAGATCTGTGGAGGTGCGACAGCACCCTACGTGACAGGAGATGTCTCCCTCGTGAGCCCAAGTAGTCGGACAGCTCAAGAACAAGTGCCACCACTGTACCAACTCACCATCGCCGTGCAGACAGTGCTGGTGACCGTCACACAGGTGGGCCTCGGGGATACAGACGGAGGACTGGCACTTGTAGTGTTCCGGACCACAGGTGACCTCGCAGTCCGCTTCGTCCGTCCCGTCCGGACAGTCGTTTTTACCGTCACACTTCCACTCGGGTGCGATGCACTGAGGGGGGCACCACACGAAGTTTGCAGGGCAGTTCCCAGGCTGCTGGAGAGACCGAGGATTAGTTAGGGTTGAGTTACGGTAATGTAGGAGGCACTCCCAGGGCTACTGAGGGAGGAAGGATTAGTTGGGAGGGCTACGGTAGTCCAGGAGGCACTCCCAGGGCTACTAAGGGAGGAAGGATTAGTTGGGAGGGCTACGGTAGTCCAGGAGGCACTCCCAAGGCTACTGAGGGAGGAAGGATAAGTTGGGGTGAGTTACAGTAGTCCAGGAGACACTCCCAGGCCTACTGAGGGAGGAAGGATTAGTTGGGGTGAGTTACAGTAGTCCAGGAGACACTCCCAGGGCTACTGAGGGAGGAAGGATTAGTTGGGGTGAGTTACAGTAGTCCAGGAGACACTCCCAGGCCTACTGAGGGAGGAAGGATTAGTTGGGGTGAGTTACAGTAGTCCAGGAGACACTCCCAGGCCTACTGAGGGAGGAAGGATTAGTTGGGGTGAGTTACAGTAGTCCAGGAGACACTCCCAGGCCTACTGAGGGAGGAAGGATTAGTTGGGGTGAGTTACAGTAGTCCAGGAGACACTCCCAGGCCTACTGAGGGAGGAAGGATTAGTTGGGGTGAGTTACAGTAGTCCAGGAGACACTCCCAGGCCTACTGAGGGAGGAAGGATTAGTTGGGGTGAGTTACAGTAGTCCAGGAGACACTCCCAGGCCTACTGAGGGAGGAAGGATTAGTTGGGGTGAGTTACAGTAGTCCAGGAGACACTCCCAGGCCTACTGAGGGAGGAAGGATTAGTTGGGGTGAGTTACAGTAGTCCAGGAGACACTCCCAGGCCTACTGAGGGAGGAAGGATTAGTTGGGGTGAGTTACAGTAGTCCAGGAGACACTCCCAGGCCTACACAGATAAGATAAGTATCTTTAAATTAATTAACATCATCATACACAATAGTAAGCCATTAATTTTACTAAAGTAAAAACAAATTACTAAATAATTATTTAAAACAGGATATGAATTTCTGTGTTTAGACAGTAATATAATGTATTGTGCATTTGTCAAGATAGCTTAAGGATCTCTGAGTGACACACATAAAGTATTGCCCCCTCTACACCACGTAACCCCCAAGACAGTCCCCTCAACACCACCTGACCCCAAAACAGTCCCCCTCAACACCACTAGACCTCAAAACAGTCCCCTCAACACCACCTAACCCCCAAGACAGTCCCCTCAACACCACCTGACCCCAAAACAGTCCCCCTCAACACCACTAGACCTCAAAACAGTCCCCTCAACACCACCTAACCCCCAAGACAGTCCCCTCAACACCACCTGACCCCAAAACAGTCCCCCCTCAACACCACTCAAACCTCAACCACCTACCCCCAAGACAGTCCCCTCAACACCACCTGACCCCAAAACAGTCCCCCCTCAACACCACTAGACCTCAAAACAGCCCCCTCAACACCACCTAACCCCTAGACAGTCCCCCCTCAACACCACCTAACCCCAAGACACGTGCCCACCTACAACCCGTGGTGACCTGGCGTGTGTGTGTACTCACCTAGTTGTGTTTGCGGGGGATGAGCTCTGGCTCTTTGGTCCCGCCTCTCAACCGTCAATCAACAGGTGTACAGATTCCTGAGCCTACTGGGCTCTGTCATATCTACACTTGAAACTGTATATGGAGTCAGCCTCCACCACATCACCCCCTAATGCATTCCATTTGTCAACCACTCTGACACTAAAAAAGTTCTTTCTAATATCTCTGTGGCTCATTTGGGCACTCAGTTTCCACCTGTGTCCCCTTGTGCGTGTTCCCCTTGTGTGTGTGTGTGTGTGTGTGTGTGTGTGTGTGTGTGTGTGTGTGTGTGTGTGTGTGTGTGTGTGTGTGTGTGTGTGTGTGTGTGTGTGTGTGTGTGTGTGTGTGTGTGTGTCCCCTCACCATGTCCGTAGAGGGGTGAGGGCAGATGGCCTCGTCCTCGCCACCCTCACAGTCGCTGACACCATCACACACCCACCGCATGTCAATACACATCCCAGACTCGCACCTGTAACATCATCAGAAGGTAAACATTCCAACAGCTCAATATTTAGCACCGATATAACCCTTATATGCAGAGTAAATTCACAAGAATGGTATACGTCTATGATCAAAAAAATAGTGAAGCCGTGCTAGAGTCCGGAGACGCGGGTTAAATACTATTATACAGCTTCAATATTTCCTCCAGGGCGGTGGAGGTAGGGCGAAATCAGGGCGGTGGAGGCGGGACGATATCAGGGCGGGGAAGGTGAGGTGATATCAGGGCAGTGAAAGTGGGGGGGATATCAGGGCAGTGAAAGTAGGGCGATATCAGGGCAGTGAAAGTGGGGGGGGGGGATATCAGGAAGGAGTAGAATTAAGTCACGGCGAATTACACACTGAAATCACAATAGCGTGATGCATCAAATGACACAAATCCACAAGGGCCGTGACGAGGGTTCGAACCTGCGTCCGAGAGGATCCCAGACGCTGCCATAATCGACTGAGGCTACGACATGGTAAAAGAATGACATGGTGTCTCGGAGAGGCTCCAGGATCCGAGTAAGTTCAGTAGAACTTCCGGTTGCAAGTCTTTTACCATGTCGTAGATCAGTCGATTAAGGCAGCGGTCTGGGATCCTCTCGGACGTAGATTCGAACCCTCGTCACGGCCCTTATGGATTTGTTCACATCGAATGCTTTTTAAGGTATTAATTTAGCAAGACCAGCAAGAAAATAATATTTTCAATGATTCTTTTCAATAGTGTTATGGAATTCGATGGCTGGGGATGCTACACACTGTTCCCCCCCCCTGTAATGCTGCTGTCTCCTTCAATAATAAGGTTTTCACCCTAAGAATAGAAGCAGTGTTGATCTATGTTCCTGTGTGACGATGGAGAACGAGACTATGTAAGAAATTCTCCAAGAAAGTTACTTAAGATGCCTCAAATAAATACATTATTGGAAAGTGGCAAACAAAAATTCCATCTATGGTGAAATATTAATATATATATATATATATATATATATATATATAATATATATATATATATATAATATATATATATATATATATATATATATATATATATATATATATATATATATATATATATATATATATATATATATATATATATATATATATATTATGAACACAGGGCTTGGTTTGGTAGGCAGTTGACTGGACAAGCTCTCGTCAATGACACATTAGTTTAGCTTACTTTAAATATACATTTTTCCAAGCTCTGTGAATCCCTGAACATTTGTAAATGACAGAACATCTTGTGACAATTATAGAGACAAAAATGATCATCATTTGAATATGAAAGAAAGATAATAAATGAGATTGTGATAATATTTATATTGATTAGTGACTTACAACTCGGTGGATCAGCACCTTACTCATGATCCATTTATAATACTCACCTATTCATGTTGTTATCCTATATAGATTAACTAGGACTGCAGCTACTGGCATATTCATAGGCATATTCAGTCCCCATAGAAGATAACAGTAGAGGCACACAACACACGGTGATTGGTGCTGGATTTGCCTTAGTGAGGTATTGTGTGTTAGATTTGTGTTGATTAATTGTGGATTGATGTGTTCCGCCTGCTACCCAGTCATTGCGGTAGGATGTGGCTAGTGATGTAGTCCGGTAGCATACATAGGCTACTGACCTGTAGTCGTCCCGGTAGCAGGTGGTGACGTTACAGGTACTGACCTGAGTCTTCCGGTAGCAAATGGTGGCATTACAGGCTACTGACCTGTAGTCGTCCCGGTAGCAGGTGGTGACGTTACAGGCTACTGACCTGTAGTCGTTCCGGTAGCAGGTGGTGACATTACAGGCTACTGACCTGTAGTCGTCCCGGTAGCAGGTGGTGACGTTACAGTTGTGTTCGTCGGACCAGTCGCCACAGTCGTCCTCACCGTCGCAGGCGTAGTGGTGCAGGACGCAGCGACCCTCCGTCGCGCACGCCACCTGGTCAGAGCCGCAGGTACTCTGCGCCGCTTTGGTATCTGTCGGACACAAGTGTGTCATCAGCCATACACTATGCTGCAGTATCCAATTAAGTGTCGCAGCGAGTCCACGTAGGTGGACACTGCGACACATACGTTCAAAAGATGTTAGCCAGCACATTCGGACCCCCCCCCCCCCACTAAACAAGCCCCCAAAACTATCTTCAAAAATGGAAGAAAAACAAAAAGATTAAGCAAAAATGTCAAAAGGAAAACATTAAGATTAAAAAGAACCAAGAGAGAAAGGGAAGGAAAGATAACCAAGAGGAACTATATATTTAGGCCACAACTATTAAGGGGGAAAGACTTACTGCAGAAGAGTTCGTCGGAGCCGTCGGAGCAGTCGGGTTCTCCGTCACAGAGCCAGGTGCTGAGGATACAGTTGCCGTCTCCACAGTGGTGGTCATTAATCCCGCAGCTGCAACACACACAACATTGATCACAACATTGATCACAACACTGATCACAATACTGATCACAACCACCAGTATAACTACCTCACTGCTACACTTGACATTGACAATAGTAAGAGAGTACCTAAATTTTTTTTTTTTTAATTTTGCTTCGAGGGGCGAGTTTATTGGGCAGCGCCACTCATCCTGTGAGTGGACACACCGCCATAGTGACAGTATTGGGCAGCGCCACTCATCCTGTGAGTGGACACACCGCCATAGTGACAGTATTGGGCAGCGCCACTCATCCTGTGAGTGGACACACCGCCATAGTGACAGTATTGGGCAGCGCCACTCATCCTGTGAGTGGACACACCGCCATAGTGACAGTATTGGGCAGCGCCACTCATCCTGTGAGTGGACACACCGCCATAGTGACAGTATTGGGCAGCGCCACTCATCCTGTGAGTGGACACACCGCCATAGTGACAGTATTGGGCAACGTCACTCATCCTGTGAGTGGACACACCGCCATAGTGACAGTATTGGGCAGCGCCACTCATCCTATGAATGAACACACCGCCATAGCAGCATGTACAACACTCCCCAATAGGAAGAAAACCCGCTGGGTTGTTCATCCTGTAGGAGAGTACCTAACAGTCAGGAGTCAGAGAGTCACATAATAATAACCCTTAACAATCTCCATATACCGAAAGGAACTAAAGGTGCATTTAGTCATATTAAAAAATTACAAGCTTAGCCCAGAAAATTAAAGCGAGTCTAAGTCCCTATACTTCAATCGTTCTTGAGTAGTTCACTAAGAAGATAATCATCACGTCCATTGGCTTGTTAGATCTGCGGCTTGTTGTTGCTTGTTAATACACTGATGTATCGCGTGATAACCGTTCACAACACACACACACACACACACACACACACACACACACACACACACACACACACACACACACACACACACACACACACACACACACACACACACCATCAAGCTTTCCTCATAGTAAGTTAATTCAACATCATGCAATTAACATAATGTTAAATTGCATGTGTGTGCCATCATATGTGACAGCACATGATGGCACACAGTGCATCATGTGCTGTCATCCACCTGCACTATCACCACCTGCACTATCACCCACCTGCACTATCACCACCTGCACTATCACCACCTGCATTATCACCCACCTGCACTATTACCACCTGCACTATCACCACCTGCACTATCACCACCTGCACTATCACCCACCTGCACTATCACCACCTGCACTATCACCACCTGCACTATTACCACCTGCACTATCACCATCTGCACTATCACCATCTGCACTATCACCACCTGCACTATCACCACCTGCACTATCACCACCTGCACTATCACCACCTGCACTATCACCACCTGCACTATCACCACCTGCACTATCACCACCATCTGCACTATCACCATCTACACTATCACCATCTACACTATCACCATCTACACTATCACCACCTGCCTATCACCACCTGCACTATCACCACCTGCACTATCACCACCTGCACTATCACCATCTGCACTATCACCATCTGCACTATCACCACCTGCACTATCACCACCTGCACTATCACCACCTGCACTATCACCACCTGCACTATCACCCACCTGCACTATCACCACCTGCACTATCACCCACCTGCACTATCACCCACCTGCACTATCACCACCTGCACTATCACCACCTGCACTATCACCACCTGCACTATCACCCACCTGCACTATCACCACCTGCACTATCACCCACCTGCACTATCACCACCTGCACTATCACCCACCTGGAAGATGTACAGTTCTCTTCGTCAGACTTGTCTTGACAGTCAAAGTCACCATCACAGAGCCAGATGACGGAAATACAGTAATCACCATTTGTACAATTAAATTGGTCGGATCCCGTACAGTTCCTCTTAAACGCCGGCAGACCTGGAATGGTGACGGAACGGTTAGGTACAGTAACCGCTATATAACATAAACGTGTAGTGATATAGGAAGATGGATGAATACAGTACTTCATCCATCATCCACTTCTAACCTACAGTAGTAGACACCACTAGACAGGAGTGATTTAAATAAAAAAAATTATTGAAAAATAATGTGATTGTAATTATATAAATCCATATAAATCATATACATTTCATATCAGCAGCATTATATACAGTGGCAAAAGTCAGAATATCAATGCAAAACTTGGATAAGGCCGCCTACCTCAGGTCAGTTCCAGTGTGTCGCCCCATAGTCAAGCCCTTATCTCAAAGAGCACATACCCTTGAGTACAAATAGTTGCAAATGAGAGAGAGAGAGAGAGAGAGAGAGAGAGAGAGAGAGAGAGAGAGAGAGAGAGAGAGAGAGAGAGAGAGAGAGAGAGAGAGAGAGAGAGGAGAGAGAGAGAGAGAGAGAGAGAGAGAGAGAGGAGAGAGAGAGAGAGAGAGAGAGAGAGAGAGAGAGAGAGAAGAGAGAGAGAGAGAGAGAGAGAGAGAGAGAAGAGAGAGAGAGGAGAGGAGAGAGGGAGAGAGAGAGAGAGAGAGAGAGAGAGGAAAGAGAGAGAGAGAGAGGGAGAGAGAAGAGAGAGAGAGAGAGAGAGAGAGAGAGAGAGAGAGAGAGGAGAGAGAGAGAGAGAGAAAGAGAGAGAGAGAGAGAGAGAGAGAGAGAGAGAGAGAGAGAGAGAGAGAGAGTAGAGAGAGAGAGAGAGAGAGAGAGAGAGAGAGAGCGATAGAGAGAGAGAGAGAGAGAGAGGAGAGAGAGAGAGCGAGAGAGAGAGAGAGAGAGAGAGAGAGAGAGGAGAGAGAGAGAGAGCGAGAGAGAGAGAGAGAGAGAGGAGAGAGAGAGAGAGAGACGAGAGAAAGAGAGAGAGAGAGAGAGAGAGAGAGAGAGAGAGAGCGAAGAGAGAGAGAGAGAGAGAGAGAGAGAGAGAGAGAGAGAGAGAGAGAGAGAGAGAGAGAGAGAGAGAGAGAGAGAGAGAGAGAGAGAGAGAGAGAGAGAGAGAGAGAGAGAGAGAGAGAGAGAGAGAGAGAGAGAGAGAGAGAGAGAGAGAGAGAGAGAGAGAGAGAGAGAGAGAGAGAGAGAGAGAGAGAGAGAGAGAGATATGTATTTCTCTCTTTCCCGGCTAGAAAGGCGGGATCCAAGAGCCAATGCTTGATCCTGCAGGCACAAATAGGTGAGTACACACACACACCACACACACACACACACACACACACATACACACCACACACACCACACACATACACACACACACACACACACACACTAGGGAGCACACACACTGTGGCGCGGGAGAGATTCCCGCACACAAATGGAAAGTTTCTTTCACACACACACCCACACACACACACACACACACCCACAACACGGACCACACACACACACACACACTAGCTTTCTACAGACACGTCAGCAGGGACTAACAGCAAAGGAACAGGTGATGAAACTAAAGATAGTGGGAAGACACCAAACAGAGAATGACCGAACTATGTGCGTACTCTAACCGGAAATTCCAGATTCTCACAATAGAGCAAAGAGAAACGCCTGAACTAAGAGGGATGGCGTCAAGCCAAGCGACCCTGGAGGTCGTTGAGATTACCAGAGATAAAGTAAGGAGGCACTCTCTGGAGCTGGACATTAATGCTGAGGGACAGATAGGACCACACTATGGGTGGCTGGGAGGCTGAGCGGACAGAACACTGGACGCGTGATCCTGTGGTCCAGGGTTCGATCCCAGGCGCCGGCGAGAAACAATGTGCAGAGTTTCTTTCACCCTGATGCTCCTGTTACCTAGCAGTAAATAGGTACCTGGGAGTTAGTCAGTTGTCACGGGCTGCTTCCTGGGGGTGGAGGACCGGGCCGCGGGGACACTAAGCCCCGAAATCATCTCAAGATAACCTCAAGATGGGGTATTGAGGCAGCTGAAGCCCAGTGAAGGCCACTTACTTTATTACTATATTTAGTGAGCCACTGGAAACTGGAGAATTATCAGAAAGTTGGAAGATAGCCATTGTAGAGACAGCATACATAATGGAAACTGACAGACAGCGCTCTATTACAGGCCAGCGTCCCTCTCTTACAAACATGTAAGGTAATAGAACGCACTTTAAGAACGTTGTAGTTCATCTATATTGAAGGGCCTTCAAAAAAAACATGGTTTCAGGGACGGCAAGCCTCGTTAGGGAAAGGGAACAGGTTAGGATAATGTGGGAGTGGAAAAAACACAGGAAAGGAGACAGGGATATGGAAGAGGCGATTGAGGTCAGGAAGATGGTGAATGAGAGTGAGAGAGAGAGAGGGTTAGAACACTAACTCACCGCAGATGCGCTCGTCACTCTCGTCACCGCAGTTATCGATGCTGTCACACACTTCATCATCCGAGATGCACTTCCCGTTGGCACACGTGAACTTCGGAGCTGAAGTGGAATGAGGAGTTTGTTGTTGTTAAAGATTCGCTACCTGGAACAAAGTTCCAAGTAGCACGGGCTATGGCGAGCCCGAATGAGGAGGGAGTGAGGGCGCCTTTAAGTGAGTGAGTGAGTGGGAGTGGTACCACCTACACCACTTAATAAAAGGCTACCTAGGGGAAAAGAGCAGCTATCATCTAGAGTGTGTTGAAGGTGTGCTGCCAAACCCCTAATGTCTACGGGGGGCAGAACAACGAGGGATTAAAACATTTCACAATATGTATATATTTTTCCCCAGTAGCAATTTACCGCGTTCGTGCTATACTGAAAGTAAACAGAGATCATTGGCCAAGCAGTTACGCAAGTACTTACGAACGTGAACATCTTTCCTCAATCTTTGACGGCTTTGGTTGCATTTATTAAACAGTTTAAAAGCATGAAAACTTCCCAATCAACTGTTGTTGTTGTTATAAACAGCCTCCTGGTGCTACGGAGCTCATTAACTGTAAACAAAGCCGCCAAAGATTGAGAAAAGATGTACAATTTCGTAAGTGCTTGCGTAACTGCTTCGTGAATCTGGCCGCTGCTTGCCAGGGAGGAAGGAAGGAAGGAAACTATCAGGGGGAAAGCGCCAAGCCACTACGACTATATAGCACTTGGAAGGGGTCAGGATAAGGATTTGGGATGGGACGAAGGGAATGGAATGGTGCCCCAACCACTTGTGGACGGTCGGGGATTGAACGCCGACCTGCATGAAGCGAGACCGTCGCTCTACCGTCCAGTCCAAGTGGTTGGTTGCCAGGGAGGAAGATCAGGCAGGCAACACTATTCTAAACTATTACCCAAATCAGTTATGAGATTATCAGCGATCACATCCATTACAGCGTAGCATTACAACTTCGTGAATTACAACTGGAAAGGCAGAAGTAACTACATGTTATAGTATGATAACATTACAGAACATGTTATAGTATGATAACATTACAGAACATGTGATAGTATGATAACATCACAGAACATGTGATAGTATGATAACATCACAGAATATGTGATAGTATGATAACATTACAGAACATGTGATAGTATGATAACATTACAGAACATGTGATAGTATGATAACATCACAGAACATGTGATAGTATGATAACATCACAGAATATGTGATAGTATGATAACATTACAGAGCATGTGATAGTATGATAACATCACAGAACATGTTATAGTATGATAACATCACAGAACATGTGATAGTATGATAACATTACAGAACATGTGATAGTATGATAACATTACAGAACATGTGATAGTATGATAACCACCACATGTTCTCTATCACAACACCATTAACAAACTTTATGTTCATTTTATAAGCACAGGTCTCATGTATATTTGATACGTTTAAAAGCTAACGAGAATGACTTTTACTTTCAATAACGTTAACTCACAAGGTGGGTTTCTTATGAAGGTAACTAATTTGGGTTTCAATAAGGTTTACTCTCCAGCTTAGTTTCAATAAGGTTTACTCTCCAGCTGAGTTTCAATAAGGTTTACTCTC